GGGCTCCCAGCCAGGAGGCGGCGCCGCGGGGAGGGAGCGGAGCCCGGCCGCCCGCCGAGCGCGCCGCGGGCCCTGGACCCGGCCAGGGACCGACTCGGAGCTGCCAGGCGCCCACCGCAGCCGCGCGCCCGGCCAGCCCAGGGCAGCGCGCGCTCGCAGCGGACCGCAGGCTACCCTCGCCCAGCCGGGGCCCGCCGGCGCAGGGCGCCCCCTCTCCCGGGAGTTGGCCCGAGCGAGAGAAGCAGGTCCGTCGGTCCGGGCTTTGGGAGCGGGAGGGTGGTGTGCGCACGCGCGTGTGCATGTGTGCCTGCGAGGGGTGGGTGTGTAAGGGGCGTGTGTGTGTGTGTGTGTGTGTGTGTGTGTGTGATGGAGAAGATGGTGTGTGCCGTATTTGCACAGTGTATTAGGGTTGTGTGTGTGCTTCCGACTGCATATGCGCGCGAGGGGTGGGGAGAGGAGAGAGAGAGAGAGAGAGAGAGAGAGAGAGAGAGAGAGAAGCGCCCACGTAGCGAGAGGGGCTCATGGCTCATCAGGGTGGAGTGTGTGTGTGCAGGAGTGTGTGAAGGGTGCGTGGGTGAGTGTGTCAGGGTGTGAGGTGCGGCTGTGTGTGATGTAAGGGTACTGGGTGCACGTGTGTCCCTGGCTCACCCTCCCTTCCCCCACCAGATGTGTCCTGGGGAGGGGTGGTCGCCCTCCGCGGCTGCCTCTCGCCCAGCCTGCCGGCCTGACCTCCTCCCCCAGGGAGCCAGAGAGGCTTAATCGCTCCCTCCCTCGGACCCCCCAGGCTCAGGGAGAGGGTGGCCGCAGGTCGAGTCCCCTGGAAGGGGGGCAGGCTCCGGAGAGCCCCTGCCAGCCCGGGCACCCCCTTCTCTCCTCTAGAGGGTAGCCTTGCAGCTGAGGTCACCGGGCTTGGCCTGCCCCTTCCTGAGGGCCGTGTGTGCCAGTGGTTGCCCCCGCGGGGACGGGAGGTGGACTCAGGGTCCACCCGGGTTGGGGGTGCCTTCCGTCGCGGTATTGCTGGAGCACACAGCGGGCCTCGGTGGGTGTTTGCTGGCGAGGGCGGGGGCGGGGGTGAGGAGAGAACCGGGTGAGGCTCCTGCCGGCGGTCAGACCCCGGGCCCCCCTGGCGGGAGGCTTGGGTGCAGTGTGTGTGTGGGGGGGGGGGGGGCTGCAGGAAAGAGCTTTGCACTGGAGCCTGCAGGTAGTGGAGGGGGCTGGCGAGAAAAGTTGTCTCTCCTCTTCCGGGCAGACCGCGTTGCTCCTGCGCGGTGTTTCTGGGTGGTTGGAGCCCCTGCCCGGGCATCCGCTCCTGGGAACGGCAGGAGGGCGGTGGAGGTCTGGACTCACAGGACTTCTCCTCCTTCTAGGACCCTTGAGCCCGCAGGGTGCTGCCAAGTGAGCCCCTGGCCACCCAGGCTGCCGAGCCAGAGGGGCCATGGCGGGCCGTGGCTGCCTGGAGCTGGGGCTGTTCTGCTGGACCCTGCTTGCTGTCCCCGTGGGCCCCCAGCCTGCCCCCTCGGCGCCAGGGGCCCCACTCACTACCCTGACCCCGCCACCTCAGAGCGAGGCCTCTGTGCTGTCCCTCAACCTGGGACTCAACTTCAAGTTCCATCTTCGGGGACCTGCTGCCGTGTGGGGGAGCCCGGTCACAGAGACTCACACCCTCAGCCCTGGGCTAGGCCAGGAGGCTGAGGAGGAGGTGGGCCGAGACTCGAGGGCTGATTCCTTTTGGGAGCTGCTGGTGGGCTCCCCCGGGAACCCCCTCCCGGAGTGGGGTTCCGCGGAAGGCAGCTTCACACCCTGGCCTTCCGCCCTGGCCCCCTCGTCCACACCCCCACCCCCGGGGCCCACCAAGAGGCCCACGGCTCCCTCCCAGCCTAGGCTGGGCACTGCCCCCTGGGCCCTGACAGCCCTGCCCACCAGCGCTCCCAGGCCTCAGCCGGGTGAGCTTGAGCTGAAGTTCGATGTGGCTCTGAGAGCGGGCGCGGCCCCGACCCTGGGTCATCGGGCACTGCCTCTGCTGCCCAGCCTGCGTGCCAGCCTGGCTGAGATCGCCGGGCGCCTGGGCCCTTTCGGTAAGCAGCCTTTCAGCCCCGCATGAGGGGAATCCCCTGCAGGGAGCCCGTCGGTGGGTACTGTCCCTAGCGGAATCAGGCAGCTTCAGCCCGGCCCCTTTCGCAGGCTTCTTTGGCACTACCCTGTCTCCGCTCCGGAACTTCTCCGGCCAGAGTTCCCCGGGAGGCACACTGTATCCCGGCTCTGCTTCCCAAGTGTCAGCTTCTTCCGGTGAGTAGAGGTTTCATTGTAACCATCATCGGCGGCATTAGCCAAGCTCACCCGCTGACCAGCGCCTGGCCTGAGGCGCATCTGCACGGCTTCTCCCAGGCTCCAGGACAAGGGCTGGCGTGTTTTGGAGGGGAAGCAGTCTCCTTGTTATATCCACTCTGGGTTGGTGCTCGTAGGCCGGGGCGTACTTGTGGCCACCGTCCCTGGGGCAATGACTTTCTCAGGACAAGCTCTGAGGGAGGAAAGGATGTTCCCCCAAGCCCCCAGAGCCGTTGCCCGGTGGTAGGATGCCATCTGAGCCCCATCGTTCCTGTTTCAGGGCCCTTCGGTACCACCCGGTCCCTACCCCCACCTCTCCTGGAGAGAAAGTTCTCAAGCCCAAGCCTGTTGGACTCGGCGGCCTCCCCAAGCTCTGCCTCAATCAAGACGACACCAGTGGGACACGGTAAGCGCGCAAGTCACTGGTACTCGACACAGCACATGCCAGCCCTCAGCAGTGTGCCGGGACCTTCTGTGCCACTGTCCTCACAGCCGCACCACCTTTCCCTTCCTCATCACCATGGAGAAACCATACGGTAACCATCTAACAAGGGCTGTCTGGGATGGCACCACAGGAGTTAGGTTAAGTGTTCTCTGAGGTGTCTGCTGCCCCAGGCAGAGCAGGGTGGGAAGCTAAGCCGGAGACAGCCAGTGCAGGAACTGCTGCTGCTTGGTTTCCATGTGCTGCCCTCCCCACCCTCCACCCCAGAGGCCTGGCCTGGCCTTCCCTCCCTACCTCCACCCCACTGGGCCTTGGGGTTTTCTCCTCTGCTGTTTGATGTGTCATGACGTGCTGTCAGGCCTGGGCAGGGATGAGCCCTTCACAGAGAAGACATAGAAGAGAGGAGCATGAGCAGACAGGTGCCACCTTTGTTCTAGGGAGCCTTTGGAACATGCACCTAGACATTTGAGCCTAAGTCTTCTCACTTATTGGGGGTCTGGTAATGGTACACATTTTTCATGGAATCCCCCAACGTTTCTCTATAGTGTAAGCCTTGATGGGTGCCAAGTAGGAGCTCATTAAACCATGGCTTCTTAACCTTGCCTTTGGCTCACAACTGCGCCCCAAATACTCCTCCTGACTCAGCCTTGCAGTATCCTGGCCTTGGCCCCACCCACCTGCTGGTCCCAGGGCAGAGGGCATGGACGCTCAGAGGCAGGCTTGGCTAAATGAGGTGATGGGAGCCATGGGCTGGGACTTCCAGCCCAGCTTTGCTCTTCTGAAGACTTCCTGGGTCTGTGAAACATCCAGGCCGCCGTGTGCTAAGCTCCTTCTAGCCCCAGTGGCCTGTATTTTGTGGCTTTCTTCAGCGAGCACCACGGTTCTCCCTCTGTGCTGTGTAAGGAACGGCTGTTGTGCTGTCCAGATAGTGCAGCAGCAGCAGGATCCCTGGCGGGGGGCGGCTCTGTGCCTCGGGGGATAGATGCTGGCTGGCATCCTGTCAGCCTGGGTGACAGTGCTGGCCAGGCAGGTTTAATGAGTCTGGACAGTATCAGAGGCGGCCCAGCCTCACAGCCCCGCTCTCCCCACCCCCGCCTCGCTGGTGGCTGCGGGAGCCCAGTCTCTTCTCGCTGTTTCTCCTGTATAAACCCTGGCTCAACCCTTGCTCAGAGAGGGGGTGGGGGAGATGCCAAACGTGTAACAAATATTTTGGGTTCTTTTGTTTGTTTCTTTGTTTTGTTTTAAGATAGAGTCTCTTGTAACTCAGGCCTGCCTCAAACTGGCTTTGTAGCTGAGGCTGGCTTTGAACTCTTGATCTTCCTGCCTCTATCACACAAGTGCTGGTATTTCAGGTGTGTCCTACCATACTGAGACTCCTAAGATCTTTCTAGCTCAAGTGCCATTTACATTGTGCCACGGTATAGGGCCTCTTTGCTCTGCGTCCCCACAGCCTCCCAGTGTATCCCCACTTACACACTGAAGTTCGGCCGAGACGTGAGCCATCCAGCGGTGCACTTCTGCAGAGCAGCAGCCCTGCCTGAAGCTGCAGCTGGGGGTAGGGAGGAGGATGCAGCCAAACCATTAAATGGGTGGCAGCTTCCAGCATCCAGCGTTGGCTCCCTGGCCCTTTGATCTGGGCAGCTGGTGGATAATCAGACCTGGCTTCTCCTGGACCTGGCTGATCCTGTCCCATCCCCCTCCTCAGCCCGCTCTGCCTCACCAATTACTCATGTTGACATCCCGTCTCTTCTCTCACTCCTGAGGTCAAGGGGCCACAAGGACATGATGGACCCTCCCAGAAGGGGTGGCCTGCTCAGGACCGGTCTCCTGGGAGGGACTATAGGGAATTCAGGACCCATGTCTTTTAGGGAAAACTCAAGGTAATTTCTGAGGAAGCTACAAATGGAGAGATGAGAGATGAGGACAGCTGGACTTTTCACAGGCAGAAGCTGGGCCGTCTCCTCCCTGCCTCCATCCACATGTGCCCAGTGGGGCTCTGGGGGCTCTTAAGAGCACTGTGCCAAGCTGAGAAGTCCGTCTCTGATACTTGAGGCACCCTCCTGTGCTTTGCCTTTTTTCTATCCTGGATTTTACAAATGTTGAGGTTTGCTCTATTGGCCATTGTGCTTAGGGATGAAGATGAGGAATAGGGTTTCATACGGGTGTGGCCTCTAAGAGCAAAGAGGAGGGGCATGGCAGGTAGAACTGACTACGCTCCTGGGCAGGAAAAGGCCAAATAAAGCCAAGGTAATTCAGCAACTTAGTAGCAGTAGGTTAGACCAGGGTATCAATAGGGGCCAGAAAATGAGAGGGCTGTATCAGTTTGACTACTGACACCAAGCTGACGCGCCTCTGACCAGCAGCCTGTCTGAGTCCAGCTGAATGGGTGTTGGGGAAAGGATGAGAGGATAGGTTGATATTCACCTTAACAAGTTTAGGATGTGCTAAGGGCTTTTTACACAGGTCATAGACTTACGTTGCTAAACCAGGAGCTAATGTATGTGGCTAGAGACGTGACTGAGTTGTTAAAAGCGCGCACTGCTCCTGTGCAGTGCCCAGGTTGATGTCTGGCGCCTATCCCGGATCGCTCACAACTGTCTGCAACTCTAGCTCCAGGGGACACGGCACCCCCTTCTGGCCTTTGTGGGCACCTGCACGCCCCTGTAACTGCCCACCGCAACACACAGGATTACAAATACAAAAAAGAACTAATCGAGGCCAGAATGGACCACACCTAAACATGAAGTGAGGACTGATTGCAGACAAAGGCTGGCCAGTCATGACACTGCCAGAATCATTCAACAGATGATTTTTTCCACAGCAGGAACACACTCACACACCTTCACGACTGTTCTGCCGTAGGTGCTCCGTCCTATCCAGTTGGGATTTGTGGAATGGAGTAGGACACAGAGTGCACGCTGCCACCTGTAGCTGGCAGGGGCTGTGTTCAGGGTTCTCATTGCTAGCTCCGAGCCCTTCCTAGCTGTCCAGGCCTTCCTGCTCTCCGGAGCTGCCTCCGAAGGGGCTCCACTCCCTTTCCTTCTGTTAGGTTTTTGCTGTCTCCAGCATGAGGGAGCACTGTGATCCCCCAATTGTTTCTTTGAGGGGGTTCAAGGCCACTTTCAGAGGCCCACCCCAATACTACATCCTGTAGAATGGGAGTGGGAAGAGGGGGCACCTGATCACCAGCCTAACACTGGGGGTGTGGCTCTGTGGTAGAGCATGGGGGTCGGGGAGAGTATTTAGTCTGAGCCTGGCACAGCAGCCCTCACACCTCAGAAGCTGAAGCACAATCCTCGCTCTGAGTTAAGAGCAGTTTGGACTACCTGAGAAGGGCAGCCTAGACTATGGAGTGAGACCCTACCTCACACAAACATCAAAACACAACAAAAGGCCCCAGACTAATGGTTCCATGGGTGAGTCAGAATTGGGGGGGTCACTGCCATTCATTGGCTGAGCATTGGGGTGTAGCCTCAGGAAGGACACTTAATAAATTGTGTTCTCTTTAGGATGCTAGGGCAGGGGACTCTTGCCTCTCTCCCTGCTCTGCGTGTGGATGCGTGTGTCCACGTGTTCTGTGAATGGGGACAAGAGAGTGCTGGAAAGGGACAGGTGGAGGATGCTTCTAGTCCTTCAGGCCGTTAGGAGTAGGTGCACATGCATGAGAGTGCACGTGCGTGCGTGTATGTTGTGGGAAGAGAAGCATGTTGGTACTGGGAGACAGTTTGTTGTGGAAAGGGAGGCAGACTGGTGCTCAGATCTGGGTCCCAGCGCTCTGACTGTTTGTGACCTTGGACAAGTCCTTCTGCAGAACCTCAGTTTCTTCTTCTGGTAAATAAGAGGGCTTCGTTTATTCAATGAAAACTACTCAGTGTCAGAAGCCATTTAAGCATGGAGATTCATGTGTGTGCAAAGGAAACAAAAATCTTGTTCTCATAAACACACACACACACACACACACACACACACACACGCAGCTTTTTTGCCGTGGGGCTTGGACTGGAGGGACATCCACACAGTTACCTGCAGCTGCAAAGTTCTGTAACTTCTGAAGAAAACCTCTCCCCCAACCCAGTAAAATTAGGGAATGATGGGGCGGGGGTGATCAGTGGACAGTGGAGGAGGGCGAACGCCAAAAACTGCGCCTGGAGGGCGGGGCCCTGGGACGAGAAGGGGAGAGAGGACAAACAGGTTCGTAGAAGCACTCAGATTTCTAGCGGAGGGCTGGGAGAGGGGGCTGCTGAGAGCCTCAGCAAACGTTTTCTGCCCACAGAGCCCACTGTCTCTTCGCGTCCAGACGAACCCTCTCCTGCCAGCTTCGGGAACCCTTCGGCACGGCCTGGATGTGAGGCGGACTACTGCAGTGAGCCAGCGCTGCCCGACGGCTTGGGGCAGCCTCCTGCCTCCCCGCTGCCTCTCTTCTTAACCCTGGAGGCCGACTGGGCAGAGGCCAAGGCTCGCTGGGGCCTGGCCTGGGAGGCCCACGTGTACGGGGCAGGAGCGCTCTTCGGCCTGGTGGCCCTGCTGGCCCTGCTGGCCCTGGCCCTCTTGCCCTGGCGTTGCCCGCCCGGCGCCCCCTGCCTGGCGATGCTGGATCTGCTGCTGCTGTCGGCGGGGACCAGCCGGGCCTTCCCGCTCTTCTACGACGCCTACGGGCACCGCGAGCGGCTGCCGAGCCTGGCCTGGCTGCTGCTGCAGGACCTGCCGCCGCCCTGCCTGGCCGCCGGCCTGGGGCTGGCTTGCCTGCTGCTGGCCCGGCCGCGCGCGCCGAGGTGCCCCGCCGGCTGGGCGGCGCTGCTGCTGCTGGGGCTGGGGCTGGCGGCCGCGGCCGCCCTGGGCAGCGCCGTGCACCGCCCGCTGCGGCCGCTGCGCCTGGCCTCCCGCGGCCTGCACGCCGTCCTGGCCGCCTTCCTGTCGGGGCTCCTGCTGGCCCTCTCCTGCTGGGGCGGCCGGCGGCGGCGGGCCGGGGCGCCCCTCGGGGGGCCTGGCTTCAAGGGCTGCACCCCCGTCCCGCCAGCGCGCAGCCCCTTCGCCCCGCGGGAGTCGTGGAGGCGCGCGGCGCGCACGGCCCCGGTGGCGGGCACCTTCGGGCTGCTAAGCGGAGCCCTGCAGGGCTACGAGGTGCTCCACGCCCTGGGCTACGGCGGCCAGGCCGGCCTGGAGGGGCCCTGGCCCTGGTGGGCTTTCCAGCTGGGCCTGCGCCTGGGCGAGGTGGGCGTCGCGCTCCCGTTGGCGCTGCTGGGGCTCTACCCCGCGCTCTGCAGCCCGCGCGTGCCCCGGCGCTGCTGGGCCAAGCTCTTCCGACTGTCTCCGGGCCACGCTGCTCCGCTGCTGCCAGGAGGCTGGGTCCCCGGGACCCGGGACAAGGAGCCCCTGGGTGGCGCGATCGCGCGTGGAGACGCAGAGCTGCTGCAGCTCTGCGCCCTAGCGGGCCCGGGCCCCGACCTCCTGCTCCAAGGCGGCGGGTGCCGGGGCCTCGAAGGCGCCGGGGCCAACCCGCCGCGGTCGCCCGCCTCCTCCCCCGGCAGTGACTGCACGGTGGACTTCCGCCCGCCCTCGCCCATCAACCTGCGGCGCAGCCTCGAGGAGCTGCTGGCCCCCGGCCTCTTTCAGGGGCCTGCCTTTGGGGAAGCCCTGCCTGGGCTCGGCCTCTACCGCACCATCTCACTGGGGAACAAGGCGGGAGCCGAACCCGAGGAGGGGCCGGAGAAGGCCCCTGGCTCCCCGGCGCCTCCCGAGCTCCCTTCTCCCGGGGCCTGGCCCGCCGGTAGCAGCGCCTCGTCTGGCTCTCTGTGCGGACTCTCACGGGACAGCTCGTCCATGCTTCTGTGCTCCAGCCCCGACAGGCCCCCGCGCTGTCCGTTAGTCTGTGTCCTCAGTCCCCCGAGGCCCTCAGGAAGCAGCCCCAGCCTCCCAGGCTCGGCCTCCTACCAGGCCCTGTCCCCACCCTCCCGCGACTCCCCTGAACATGCTTCCGAGCTGCAGGCTGAGGAGGCATTGCTGCAGGAGCAATTCCTGGATGCCTGCCGACAGATTGACGAGCTGAGCGTGGGCAGCGACACCATAGACCTGTGAAGAGGCGGCTCCTCACAGCCAAAGCGCCTGCCCCTTTTCTGGCATCTAATCTGCCCAAGACCTGCACACTGTAAAAACTCCCCAATTCTGCCTGGTTCGGATACCTCTCTCTGATTCCTCCCCATCCAGGGGCCCCTGGGTGGGTGGGTCAGCCACCAGGCTCCGTGGATTGGGAATCAGTGCCAAGTTCTCCGGAGCCGTGGGTGTTGATGCCCCCAGCTGCAGTTTGCGGCTGGCGGCGCCCCACTTCCCTTGGCCTTCACCAGCAACAAAGCTCCAAGGTGCTCCGCTCCAGACCATCACCCCGCTCCCCGGCGATGAGCGAGACAGTTACCCTCAGAAGACCGAGCGCCCTACCTGGGCTCCGTACCCACTTCTGCCGACTCCTTCCGGAACCGTTCCCTAAAGATGGATCTGTGGCCCATCCAAGAGACCTTACAGCAGCTCGGTGGGAGATGAGGGTTTTCAGAGTCGTTGTATCAATAAAATTATTTTCAGAGGAGAATGTTCTGACCTCCTTGGAAAAGCTTAAAAGGAGCTGCAACCTCAGCAGCTCCACCAGGGGCGGAAATGGAGTGGGGCTGCCTCAGACTCCCAGGGACCCTCCCACAAAAGTGAGGTCTTTGAGGCGAGTGCGTCCTGAGGGCAGCCCCTGGAAGTTGCTCGTCAGCCTGGCAAGTGTCTTTTCCTAGAGGAGACACGATCCTGAGGGGAGGGGGGCAGACTCTCCAGCCCTTGGCAAAATGCCCTCGTTGCTAGGCTCCTGGCATCGGGTCTTGGGAGAGAGCTTCCTCGGGGCTAGCTGGTAATAAAGATCTTCATGGAAATGTGGACACACATGCTACAGAGCCTGACAGCCTCAGGTTGGGCCATCCGAGCTGCCTGCCAAGTTCCCACAGAAGTTACCTTTTCTCAGCACTAGGGCCTCTTTGAGGCTGGTCTCTCAAGGACCCCAGCCCTTTCCCACAGAGCTCTCCCCTCTGAACCTCAATGGAGAAATGTCTCCGTTGCCTGCCTCTTCCCCCAGTCCCAGTTTAGTTCCCAAAGAGAGCTCACAGTGAAGAGACACCATGAGCACGTCCGCCCCCCAGCCAGACTATCCTTCCCTGCCCGGAGCACTGAGCGTCCGGTTACCGGCACTCTGCTTTCGTCCTTCAGCTAACGTGTAACGGTTTACAGCGGCAGGGTCTTGGATCCGGTTTGACAACGAAACTCTGGCAGTGTTAGGCAGATGTCCTGCGCATCACAGAGAGACCTCCGAAGTCATACACATTAGGTTCAAAGTGTGTGTGGGGGGGGAAGGGGGCGTAGTGATTACACACATCTCACACGCCAAACTTGGATCACCTGGGGATTGCAGAGAGGAGGCAAGGCACCAAGAGAGAAAGCGAAAGGGGGTGAGGAGGGGCCCAGGCCCTTGTTCCCTGCAAATGAAGATCTGTCTTGATTTCAGACAGCATCCAGGGCCTGGGACCTCAGAGGGAGGAGGGAAGCCAGGGGCAGACGTCTAAGCGAAAGTAAGAAAGAGAGACGGGAAGTGGGAAGCAGTGGTGTAGGTGAGGCTGAGGAATGGGCCTGGAGTGGTCCTGACCAAGCCTCCTCCACCACCTGGCTCAGTGTGGCTCAGAAATTCTTGCTGCAGCCTCACTCTGGGCTAAGGCCCGGAGAGCGGCCAGCTTCCTAATTCCAGGCATTTCTCAGTGGTGTCACAGAGGCTGCGGCGGGCCGAGGAGTGGCCCTGCACTGTGTCATGCAGGGACGCTTGCTGCTCTCTGAAATTGTTCTTTCTCACCCCGTCTTCTCTCCGGCTGCTTCTGCTTGCACCCAGCTCCTCCGTCATCCCCGACTCACGCTCCCTCTCTCCAGCTGCTCTCTTGCACATTCTCCTCACTAAATCTGATTGGCTTCATGCGCTCCTCTCCCCTGCGCACAGCAGTCCAAATCTGGAGCTTCCCCATTCAGTCTGTCTCTGTTTGTCGCTCACAGACACTTGGTTTTGGTCTGGAAGCTCTGAATACTGCTGATGAGAAAGGAGGCCATTGGATTACTTCTCAGTACTTGCCAGATCCAACACTTTGTTGATTTTCCTTCATAAGACTCACCCCTAGGGCTAGAGAGATGGCTCGGCAGTTAAGAACTTTTTTTTTTTCATTCCAGAGGACCTGAGTTCAGTTCTCAGCACTCACATTGGGTAGCTCACAATCACCAGTAACTTCAGTCCTAAGTGATCTGAGCTGATCTGTGCCTCACGGACACCCCTCCACTACACACACTGCATACAAACACCCCTACACCCACACAAATAAAAATAAATCTTTAAAAATCCCTAGTCTCTTCATTCCCGAGGACGCCAAGACTGAGAGACTAGCTTCCATTCATTCATGAACTCATCCATTCTCTTAAGAATACTTGCTGAATGCTCATAACGTGTCAGGTGATGAGGACAAAAAGACAAACAAGGAAACAAACCAGGAGTGCGCGCTGGTTTAGGTCTTGTGGAGGAAAGGCGAGCACTAGTGACAAACGGTCATTATAGCACAAGCAATTATTACAGTGAGAAGTGTGAAGAATAAGAACTATCTAATCTTATGGAAGGTTTGGCTTATGGGAAGAGTGAGGGGTGGAGCCAGAGGGGTGGGGCCCGAGAAAGCCTTGTTATGAACACCCCAGGCTTCTCTTCCTTCCCTTCCAGGCTTCAGCACAGTGATGGATGAGGGATAGGCTGGCGGTTTATTTCTCTTGGAAGCCACCTTGCAGGGTTCCATGACTCCTGCTGTTTAATAAAGAGCGCCGCACGTGTCCTGAGTAGACGGATGAGCAAGAACCATGTGTTCTTCCTGATATGCATGACTAGAAGGGGATGGAGCAGGAAAGAGATGGGGGCTTAACATCTGAATAAAGGAGGTAGAAAGGATCAATTTTACTGTATATTCTCTGAGGGACACACAACACTGACTATGGATATTTGCTGCCCCCTGATGGACAAAGGGAAACAATTTGGTCTTTATTCTTTAAGGAAAAAAAAATGGATTTAGGCATTTAGAACACTTGCAGGGTACAGGGTTGCAGATGGATATTAAATTCTCTCCCCTTTATCTACTGCAGCTATAACTAGGTCTTCCCCATACAAGTTAGTATTTAAGGGTAGAATTTTGATTCTGAAGGTGGCAGTGGGTGAGGAGGAAAGGATGTGAAATTCCAAACCACCTTTGTTTAAAAGATCCTGCTTACTTCTTTTGCCCGTTTTACTTTTTATGTAGGATAAAATTTACTTAGTGCTAGTCTTGACAGTCTATTTTGTACTTCAATGCCGTTTCTCCAGATTTATCTATTTAAAGTATAACTGCGGTATGGGTTCTTTTTCCAAAAGCACACATTATTTATTTGAAGCCAGCTAGGACTTAACAACTTTCATGCTGAGTGCACCTCCCATCACTACCAACAAGCCATCCGTCCATCCATCCATCCATCCATCATCCATCCATCCATCCATCCATCCATCCATCATCCATCCATCATCCATCCATCCACCCATCCATCATCCATCCATCATCCATCATCCATCCATCCATCCAACCATCATCCATCCATC